GTTGTTTGGATCTTCTCACTGATGCTAGATTCATGACATAAATGAATGGACTAAATGAATTAAACTTCACCTCGTTGCACTAGCAGTGGCTTTCTGGTTTCAGTAGCTTAGTGGGAAATGCGACAGAGTTTCAGGTGAACGGTACTTAGTTCGCGTCCTGGAGTGAACATCAATTCTCAAATGCAGGTATATCCAACTGGCGAGCCCCAAAATAGGACGGAGCGTGCGTCCTGGATCCCACTGTCAGTCATCATTATCTCCTCTTATAATGCTTGTGACTTAAGGCAATGTCGAATCAGTGAGCACAGGATGAACATATGCCAATAAGAGACTGATCAATTGAAGTCCTAAACATCGAAGGGAAGATTCTAACAACCAATACACAAATGGATATTGTGACTTTAAGTACTTCAAGATGATAGAGATCATAGTTTAGTGGTCCTTAGTGATATGAATCCGAATCAAACAGCAGAATTACAAATATAGTTATTATGTATATTTAAAACAATTAGTCCCTTTGATAAATTTCGATAATGCAATGAGAAGATGTAGTTTATCAGAATTATGTGATATATTTGCGCAATACATTTCGAACAATCTGATCACACATATACTTGTTAAGAACATTTATGCATGAAAAATTAAAAGGTCAACTAGACAGGTTAAGAGTAAGTCATAACAAAGGAAAAAATATTAAAGTACACAAAAACAAATGTGATTACCACTCTGGATAATAAATCAGTGTTACCATGGTAGGTTTAGTGTAAGTACAAATTGTTTTTGAACACATAAAGGGGGTTTCAATTTTTCTCCACTTCAACTAGAACGAAATGTTTTTTCGGGCTGGTAGTTTCTTTCTATGCTAACTATCTAATACACTCACCAGGCTTTCTGGAAATTACAATTTATAGAAGCGCTAAGTGTTACAATACTCAAGAGAGGCCACCACAGTATTCGATAGTTTATCTACTTGTCTGTACTTTTTGGAAACCAGAGACAATTAAATTGGAATTTATTAAACACATTATAAGATGGAGTAATGTGAAAGGTTTAAGAGTAGTCAAAAGCACAGAAAAATGCAAAATAATCATTGTAACTATTTTACAGCATCTACTTAGAGTCGTCACAATTTAAAATGGGAATGTGTTACCACACTAAACATTAACTGCGAATACTTCTTTCACGTGACCAAACTTATGTTACTGAATGGAGTAGTAATTATTATAACAAACAGATTGATCATCGTGTTTGTTAAAAATCTATGTTTCCATCACTTACACTTTAATCTTTCTAATGGAGATAGTTATTCGCATATAATTCACACTTATCGACATTACCTCTTATAGACATTTCTTAGAGTACACTTTTCAAGTAAAGATGAGATTCAAATCAAATTAACGTTAGCATGACTTCTAAATTTTATCTCTTGGCAATAATCTGAAACGTGACAGATCAATGAATTCAGAGTACAAAACAGTTTCAAATATTATTAAACTTAAGTAAATTAATAAATTCAATAAAAAAACATTGACTACCTAGCTGTATTTTGCGTGATTACATGATGCTACTTAAATGTTTTAAGTACTAAGACACAGTATAAAATAGTTTGTCGAGGTAGTTGAATTAATGTTTACATCACCAGGATACAGAAAATTTAGGTCATTTTTGTTGTGTAAAGGATTACTTGAATAATATTATACTGGATTTATCCCTGGACTTATTTATATTCTTTATTACAGGATAGTACACAAAATATTAATTCGGATGTTTTGAGTTTTAAAATATAAACGATAACTACATATCAAGTAATTGGATGATATTCACCTTATAGTGTATGAGTTCAGATCTAGCATATAGATTTGTGACAGATAGGTACTATCACAGTAGGATCATTGTTAGATTTAGTATTGGCTGACATCGTCTTGTCGAATATTCAGTGCAATACTATAGCAAAAAGTAAACAAAATTTAAACACTTATAGCAGATATAACGATGACACTTTTATTAATTATGACAAAGGTTATCACTTTGATATTTTAGTAAATATTTTTAATGATTGAAAATCACTCATCCCATTTACTTTGTAGCAAGAAGTAATTTCCAAAGTTTTTCTTAAGTGTTCTACTCACACAGGGAGAGAAGCTAGAACTAGGTAGAACTAAATTCGTAGAAAGTTCACCTGGAAAAGTTATCTTACACATTATCATACTATTCTATCATGATTATTATATTAACGCCTTCAATTCATTCTTATTCTTGTCTATAATGACGTTCATTGACCTAACTAGATAAAAATACATCGTAATAATCTATTTTACCATAGTATTCCGGACTCTGACCATGTCTTATGTTTACGAGTTACTCTTATAAATCATATAGCAATATATGTTACACTGCAGTGAACGAGAGCACAGGCGAGGACAACCAAATGCATTTAAATACATTACAGGATATCTTGGTATAATCTTAGAACCATAAAGTAAATACTTCATTTGCAATATATCCGTCAAGTGTCTCAGACCTTGCTGTTCCTTCGTTTCCATACCAATTACTCCCTGTTCTAGTTCTTTTCTCTTCGATTTTCCCAACCTGCTGCCAGGCATTTCACTTTCGATTGGTGAAGCATACTACTTATATCTGTCGACATGAGTGGCACACACCACAACACATTATTTATAAGCTGTACTTTATGAGTTCCATTTACAGCATACATTTAAATTAATATACAAACATTTTTTCACTGCAACAATTATTCTATTTAAATATGATTGTATAGCCTTTTTTAGGTGAAGCTTTCGAAAATAAAGCTCATCATCTCTCAAATATTCATTTTAATCTCTTAATGGAGATTATGAAGTTGGTGTTATTTTATTGCACAATTTTTTCGCTCCTATGTTGACCAGTTATTCTTCATATCTTATAATGAATCTACAAATAAATTCATTGAATACTTGTATTGTTCGACATTTTTTTTCTAAACAAGTTGTATTCCAAATATTTGTTAACTGAATGTAATGTGATATTTACATTCTGATTATATATTGATGAATATAGAAGTTCACATTTATTCATAGTGATGGTAAGTAGACTAATGAATTAATAGGAAAAAACACAACTTAAGAACGAATGACAACATTCGGAAAATGCAATACAGAGTGCTGGACGGGTGATCCTTCTAAGAATGGGACTAATTAGGAGTGTGCACCTATAACCTCTTGTGACACTAGGACAGTTGTTAAATTTCTTAACGCTATCTAAAAAACCTGAAGGTGTTGGCTTCCGCCCGCGGGAGTGTTTTGGGTACGTACAGCAAAATAGCTAACCAGTGTTTAAAGGTTTCCGATGGCACCTTAAATAATACCAAACTCCATCTAATACCACCTACACATGTTAATGGTTGATTAAATTTGGAATTAGTTTTATATACAGCTGAGAATAATATAACTAACTGCAACAAATTTATCAAATTATACAGAAGTTACTGATATGGATACAGAAACGTACTTGCATTTCTAAGTGTGCATCGTAATATTAAAGTTTATTCAATCTCATCATCTATTATCTATCATAATGTTAGTAAGAAGTTTATTGAGTTATTTTAAGGAGGGTTTGATAGCGGCTTGGAGTGGGAATCAAGATACATCTCATTCTGTTTGGAACTCGTCAGCTGAATGTATCTGATCCCTTGTTGATGTTCATACCAGGACTTGGAAACAGTGCCTTTCACTTCAAGAACTCAACGCGTTATTCACTTAACTTCTGAGTCAAGATGGCTACCGGATATAGGACGAAACTCGCATCCTAGATTCCATCGCTAGTCACTATCCAACTACGCTTAAAATACTTTTAACTTAATGATTACATCGAAGCAACTTGCTAGGGATTGACATATCCCATGAAAAATTAGTCACTTGCAGTTCTTAATATCAATAACAGAAAGATTCAAACAACTATTCAAAATGAAGTTTTTGAGTTATTTCCCATAAGACAAGCTCTTCTTTATCTTTACACATAAGCTACCACTTTACTGGTTAAATACATGTGCTAACTTGCTTTGTAAAGAGATAATATGGTGTGAGCTAATTATATTCATACAAGTAGTATATAACGATGATCAGGAAAAGAATGTATTTCAGTAGACGATCGAGAAGGAAAGAATGGAAACGAAAAGCGATTGGTATGAAAATGCACAAACATTGAAATCTGAAGCAATGGACTGATATTTACAAAAAGAGCAGTCAAGTTTGAGACAATTGATTGATACTTTGCAGATTAACTATTTATTGTACGGTTCTCATATTTTAGTGAGATGTTCTGTAATTTCGCGCGCAATTACATTTGGATGTCCCAACATGTGTTCTTATTCACTACAATAACATCAACTCATAAAATAATAAACTAATAGTTTAACCATGCACATATTAATTAGTCAGTCTTAACTACTGATATTCCTAAGTAATAAATATTAATTCCAATACAATCGATTGATTAAATAATATCTAACTATGAATTTAATTGAATTCTAAATGTTTTACATTATGATATCACTAATCAAATTGTAAAGTTTCAATCAATTTTTATTAATAATTAATTGAGTTTTTCTCTTTTTTATCCCTCTCTCTCTCTTGATAACCTAAAATTACTTAATTATATCATTTATTGATATTAAATACAAATCAATAATTGAAAATAGTAATAATAATAATAATAATAATAATGGTAAACAGTAGAGTTTCCAATTTATTTCTTCTTTTGTTTTTCTTATTATTATTATCAATCAGCTGGAAGTACAATCTTTATATTTATTTGTTTGTTTTTAAAATCAATAATTTAATTCAATAATCATATGACATTATATGTATATTTTCTTCTCTCATTGGTTTATTAAAGTTTCATAATGCATATGATTAACTGATTATACAATGATAGCAACAACAACAACAACAACAACAACAATAACAAACAACAATAAAAAGTACAATAAAACAGAATAAATTATCAAGTATAAATTTTATAAATAGAGTTTAATTGTATATTATAACTTTCAATATTCTATTTCATTCATTCATTCATTCATTAAATATCATGTCAAAGGATAGAACAATAGCTATACCTGTTCATCGAGATACTAGAACATTTGAACAATATAGAAAAGATTTTTTAAAAGATGTAGAAAATTTTCCAAATTATAATAATAGTATATTACCATATCATGATAATTGGTTTAATGAAGTGGATGATTGGATTAAATCATCATGGAAAAGATGGGATGATGAAATGAAACGTATTAGAAATGGAATGTTTCAATTAATGGTAATATAAATATGATTTATGTAAATGTTTTTTTTTTGTAAAATAAAATTATTATGATAGATTTAATGTGAAATAGTAGATTTAGGCAAGATATCCATTTGTATTACAAAGGGATTGTATACTCCACAGTAGTTCACTTTATATCAATTTTTAATTTTGAAATTTGACCTTTAGAGTTAAAAGAAAAAATCTTTTAAAACAAATTTAGGAGGAAAATTTCATTCAATAAATAATGATCAATAAAAATAAATAATACCACCAAGTTATATAATGTGTTCATTATTGACTAATTTTGACAGGTAATTCCGGTTCTAGCGAGAAGCTGTGAATAATGGAGTTCAATCATGTTAAGTGTGATACAATACTTGCCAATGATATTGAAAGATATTTGAACCATGTCATTGAGTGACTGAGGTTAGACATGTAAGCTAGTGGGTGTCAACTTAGTGGTCTAAAGGTTAAGAGTTTCTCACTAGAACTGGATGTCCTGAGTTCGATCCTCTATAAAGTCGCTCATGGGCACTTCTTAAAAGTTCTAAGATGAAACAACTGTCCACTACTTTCTAGTTCTCAATGGTTGTTTGATTAAGTTTATTTCGTGATATAAACTGTAAAACTCAAAATCCACACACAATCCTTATAATAATTATTAAATTAAATAAGCTGAAAATACATATTAACATAAATATGAATTAGTTTATATAGATTCTGTAATCCGTGGTAACGTCACAAACTGTGGAACAGGATGATGTGGGTCCGAACCTTTGCAGATACGCCTTCATGATGCGTACTGATCAGCATGAAATCTAAATTCATTGTATATGCTAACTTCAAAAAACAAAGTGTATAACAATATAAAATTCCTTAGCTTGCTGGCCATTAATGAAATGTGGTCCATAAAATTCAAACACTTATAAAGACTGGGGTAACTACGCAATGACCGATTCGTGTAAATCTTACATGCCATGATAATGGTTTCAGACCAAAGTGAAGTTGAAACAGACTAGAGAACAAATAACTGACACCCTATTCGATGCATTAACAAGCCAATCATCCGGAATCGTTCTTCACAATAAGTCAAAATGTCCTGGTTTGGATAGAATAATCAATTACATTTTCTCTTTCATGATAAGTGAAAATGTTCAATTATACTTTCATTTACTGATGGATGTGTTTGTCTACTTACAAAAGTTTTTTTTTCAACTTTTTTTTATAATTATAGCCTTTGGATAATTTTGGTTTAAGTAATTGGGATGCATTCGACACTTCATTTGATCCAAATAATTTAATAAGACAAATGGAACAACGTATTCAAAACATTCGTCGGGAAATGGGTATAACCGATGCACCATTTACTGGGTCATTAAATGATTTCTTAAAAGATGCATATGAAGTCGGTAAAGATGGAAAGGTATGAGTGACTGATTCTATAATAATAATATTGTGTTTTTCTTTTTCATTAATTTAATAGATGCATTTCAAGGTTAGATTTAATGTCAAAGGTTTTTCACCAGAGGATATTAATGTAAGCACCACAGATAATCGCGTGATTGTCAGCGCTAAAAAAGTGACTGAAACTGATACTTCAAAGAGTTCACGTCAATTCTGCCGTATGATTGATTTACCACAATCAATCGAACAAACAAAATTAGAATGTAATTTGACAAATGTAAGTAATATTATTTTCACATGAATTTATTAATCAGTTATTCATTAGTCGTTTTTATTCATATATGTAAGGGTACGTGACTTCCCGTTGTTGATATTCGGAATAGAAATTCGATCCTTTTTTTCTAAAGATATATGGTCTCTTTAAGTGAATACCTTAATATTGTTTGTATTCAAAATTTGGTTGCATTTTGGAGGATGATTAAAAATGAAGTCTAGGATGTTTGTTTTATCTTAACTCATCCTTAACATCTTAAGCTGTGGACACTGGGCTCGATTTAATGTGAAGATCAATACTGAGATGGAAGTAAATTGAAGTTGACAAGTCTCTGTTTATAAAGAAAAAAGCGGTCATCAATGTGGGGTTGTGGAGATTGTTAAGCTTTTGATTGAGATCATGAATTACCATGTGCTCACTAGTGACCAGCTACATGAGGGAATTCCCAGAGTTCTAGTGAGAAGCTGTGACCAGTGGAGTCCAATCTGTGTCAGGTAGAAACAGGCATCTACCTCAGACAATGGAAACTGATCAAGCAATTTCGTGGATTGATTGAAGTTAGACATTAACACCTTTGTATGCAGGCTCAGTGGTCTACAGGATAATCGTTCGCGCTCGAGACCGAGGGTCCTAGGTTCGAATCCCGGGACCGTGGGTTCGCACTGCTAGGACGAAACGGCTGTCCAGTTCTTCCAAGTTTTCAATGGTGATCTAACATTCATTGCTTCATGATCTAAATAAAAAACCTTTTCTGGATTATACTACCCATAATCCAAAGTAGAATCATAAGTAGTTTTGTTGATTTTATTGTAAATTAATTACTGTTCTTTATTTGTTAATAATAAGGAAGTCAATTATTATTTTTATCATACTTAATTTTCATATTAACCGCTTTTAAACGTAGATGAAATGAAGTAGACTAGATTTATGTTTATATGATAAATAAGTCTTGACATAGATTAAACTTATTTCATAATGCGCATAATGTCTCACAATTATCTTTATCATTATTGCACATTCAAATAAATTATACTTAAGTTTGTTTCATTTTCATTTCTAGGATGGAGTCTTAATATTAGAAGCTCCAGTAAAACCAAATAATCATAAATCAGTGACATTTAATAATGAACGTCAAATTGCTATTCGACCTACACATACTGGAAATGTAACACCATCTAAAGATCTAGTTGTGAAAGGTAATCTACACTAGTTTATTCATTAACAGAAATGCTGAAAAATACTTGGCATTCAGTACCTTAAGAAACACTGATTTTAAATTCCACTTTTTAAATTTTAACAGGTACTAATGGCTTAACCATTATTGATGAAGGTTTCAAAGGCAAACGACTCCATATTGAAATACCAATTGACCCAATGTATAAATCTGAAGACTTATGCGTTCATGTTGATTCCAATCGTGTAGTGGTATCTGGTCGATGTTCAAAAAGTGACAGTCGTTGGACAAAAAATACACCATGTGCTGAATTTTCACATTCTTATGATATCCCACATAGAGTTGATCCATTGTCTGTAACTTCACAAATGGTGGGTAACACATTGGTCGTTGAAGCTCCATTACTGAAATCCTACTAATATTTCACAAATGACGTATCGAATGTGAAAGTCAATATGAAATCTTAACACTTTTTCAAAAATACAGAAATGTTTATAGTTCACAAAGTTACACTTACCATTATACACATTTTTTTAATTGTTGTAACTGTTTAAATGAGTTCTTGTTTATTGGGAATATTGAACTATAATCGTTTTGTTATAATTTTTTATAGAGGCAATTGTGAGTAACAACAAACAAATAGATTATTATTTTGTGAGTTTGATGCTTTTATATGATTACAAATTTAATGGATCTGTTTTTAACTAAATCAACATAACTATTCATATTCGACATTCATGTATTATTAAAAAATAAACTTTTTAATCCATTTTAGTCAGTAAGAGGAACATACAAAAGAAAAATAATGTATTACTAAAATTTAATTATGTTTGAATGTTATAATGGTTGGTTTTCCAAGTTTACACATATGGAACGTTAATTTATTTTAGACGAATATCTACACAAGATTTCCTCCCAGTGTCTATTCTACAGAACTTCAACACAACTCAGATCAAGAACACGTGATTAGCCTGACTATAACGTAAATATATTTCCACACCAAAATCCCGACACAATCCAACAATAATAATAATTATAAGGATAGGGGAATATCTAACTCATCTGATACCTGTCAGACTGTCTTTCTTCCTTATCTTAAGAATAACTTGTTGATCGAATAGTTGTATTTAAAGACTTGTTCAGACTTATAGCTGATTATTCAACCAAAGAAGTAACGTAGTGTTTCATACTGTTATTTTAAATTGTCTGTAACTGTCAGATTACACAGGAAACTATTAGGTTGTGTTAACAGAAGTTAGCACGTAACAGTTACTTGTACTTGAAATGAAACTTAATATCAAATATTACGGTAGTTTTGAATTTATACAATCGAATACCTCAATATCGTTACAAAAATAAACGGCCTGAAATATTACAATTAGAAAGTGTTACATGTAGAAATATCGTTCCTACTAAAAGTGATCGTTTGAATGAATTATGTGCAATAACATGGATGATAATCCACTTTTTCAAAAAATTGACATCCTAAGTTTTCCGGTAGGACGTTCTCGTAGGATCTAGCTTTTTATGTACAGACAGTCGGACCAGAATCTTAATGAACCTATTAGTTAAGACAAGAAAAATTTGATTGTCAGTACTACTTGGTAAATTTTCTAAATGTACTATTATTGTATTAAAAACACAAACAGAAAATAAAATCATTTATAAAAGAACAAGCAGCAGCGTAGTTGGAGGTAGTTGAAAATGTAACACAAATAATTTATGAGTAGTAACAATATTATTATGAAAATATTACGATGTTCACTGTCTAGTAATAAATTAAAAACTCCATAAGTCAATGTTGGGCTGGGGCTATTAAAGTACAACTCAATTCCTAATATGAATATTTTTAACCTTAATTCACAGTACTTATTCTTTTAAAATCATCACATTCCTATACTGCAACAATTGTTTCTTCTAACAAATCTAGGTCCTGTATATCCAGATCCATCTCTTTAATTCGAGTCTCTAAACGTACAGTTCTCATTTATTCATCATGGCCATAACAAAAAAGTTAAGTCGTAGCTTTTGATTACGGGCTTGTCTGAGAAACTGAGTCTCCAAGCCAAAATCTAATAAGTATGTTAAATTATTAAGATCCAATTTGAAGCGTCAGTAAAATCTGTTATATCTGAAATGTAATACCTAGTTTTTATCCTTCCTTTTATGGTCTATCGTATACCGAAGCCTCCTTTGTTTTTAGGTTTTCCTTTGACAGTCTTTTATAAACCACCAGAAACAAATGTATTTTTCACAATCATCTATTGTTTTACAAGTGGTCAGTTTCTTTTGATTCTCTCTGCCCCAAGTAAAGATATCTGTTACAATAAGTCAGTTACTACTATTCAAAACAATAAACATCATAAAATTCCTCTTACTGACATTATGATATATTTACACATTCGTAGCTCGATAACTTAATCTAGTAGGGTTGAAATGCCATTCACAACCGCCTTCCGAAATGGATATAACCTAACTTGTTCTGATATTAAACGCTAATAGCCAGACCTTCGCTAACATAAACTATTCTGAAAATGTTAGCCTTTGTTGATAAAAATCTGCTTTGGGCGTTTGCTTCTTACAATAAACATTGATAACGTAAACATCAACAAAGTATTGTATAGCGTGTAAGTCATTTGAAAATAGATCACTGTGATTTAAACAGAGTTAAGCATAGAGCCATAAAGCTTTTTGATAACTTTCCCCTTTTAATATATATGTCCAAAATAATCAACCAACAGTGGTGTCATACTAAAATTCAAGATGATGCGTAACAAATAAATAACATACGTGTGAAGGTTATATTATAATGTCCATCGTTTAGTAATTAACTATGGAGCAGCCGCACAGAATTCAGATTGAGTTAGAGAGGCTGGGGTTTAAAATACAGCCTCACTAGTCAATTTTTAGTCAACAGTATCAATGACAATACAAAGTTAACGTTCAAAAGCTTCTACAAGTCGAGAAATATCAGTTTTATGTTCACTCATATAATGAACATTGGAAAACTTTGACTGAATAAATTCAGTCGCAATATGTGTGTTATGAAGCAGCACAACGGCTCTTAATGTTAGGCCTCAACAAAAAATTATTCATTTGTAGTCATTTTTAAAAGAAGAGAAAGGTTTTAGGACCCGACAAGGATATAACTTTAAAAAACAGTATTATTTGCTTACGGTAGATTCACAAATTAAGATATTTGTAAGTTTGTAATTATTAAGTATTAGTTGACGCTCAGCTAAATTTATTCAAAATGTAACCATTAACTAAATTAAATTAAACCCAAAAAGATCATTTTACTCGGACATAGTTTTGACCTGTTTTTGATGTCAAATAAATTTTTATCTGTCTCATTTCCCTTCTTTTTTTTACTTAACCTTACCAGTTTTATTCAGTTGTAACACTCTGTTAGTTCCAAATGGATGACATCATTAGTATTATCTCAAACTGATAATTAAAATAAGTCAGTAGATCATTAGTTTCCTAAACATTGTCAGTAAGCTGAAAAATATCTCAATACACGATTTCTTAAAGACAACTAACTACTAGTCATCCAACTTCGTAAAATAACGTAAAAGTTGACAACTGATTAGTGATAAAAGTAAACATGGTAATATAATCTCAATTGATTGATCACTGGGTGGTGATCAATGTCATGTGTGTCAAGTCCTTATTTAGTGCAGATCGAGTGCTGTCGACCATGTTGCAATGTGGCCACCAGTCTAGGTGACTGGACACTGCGTGCACTATATATATTGGGTCCAGGGTTTCCTGTCGACTACCTCCAACCACCATCTAGTAGTAATATAATATCAGCTGGAGAAATCTTAGAAATTAATGACTACTACGAAAAGCATTTTCTTTCTTACTTAGATTTCTATGTCAGTACTCAATCAATATATCACATGGAGTCGAATCGAAGTTATCCAACCCTGGTAGAAAGAATAAAACCAATAAGTTACTAAGTTGAAACTCACTGGCTCACATTTTAATACCTCATTGTTTTACAGTATAAAGTGTATTTTTTGTTGTATTGGATTTGATCGATAAGATATTTAGTTCCTGTTTAACCTTATTAAATCCTTAGTCTTGATGCTTCTAACCAATCGCGATACTACTATTATTGTTATAATTATTATCAGAATTGGTTTTGTGGAGATTTTTAGAAATTTCACTGGTTTAAATCATGAGTGAATTGAAGCTAGACCACCATGGAAAACCTGGAAGCACTGGACAGCTGTTTCGTTCTAGTATGGGACTCCTCAGCAGTGCGCATCCACGATCCCGCCCCCCGCGAGATTCGAACCCAGGACCTATCAGTCTCGCGCCAGGCGCTTAACCAACTAGACCACTGAGCCGGTATTCAACGGTGTTAATGTTTAACTTGAACCAATCCAGGTCTGTTGTGAGATAGGAACTCACTGAAGACAATGGTGTATTATTATTATTATTATTATTACAAAGTAATTTTTGTTTTACAGGGATTTCACCAGTTGAAGATTCATTAAAAACTAGATTTACTTGTTAAATATTTAATTAAATGAAAATATTACATAATTTGACACGATGTCATTTTCCTTTTCTACATTGGCTTAACGATATGTTAATTTTATTACTATAATTTATCAAAATAATAATCAAGTTCTCATGTATTTCCTTTTTTATCATTGTAAATATATACAATTACTTATTACTATTGTTCAATTAATCAAAAAATAATTAATATACAGAACAGATTCTTATTCATTACTCATTCATTAACCATTCCATTTCACTTCACTCAACTTTACCATTGTACACAAACTTATAAAAGTACAGATATTGTTGCCTTATAACTTAACTAATGCAAATATAACACGTGATTAGTATATTTAATGTTTTACCATAACATATATATATATGTAATTATGATCTGATTAGAATAAATTCTTGAAGATTCATGCAAATTTACTATATTTTCATAATGAAATACCTTGACGATACATGTGATCATGTTGTTATGGTTTACGTGGATTTTTTATACTTCAAAAAAAAATCTATTCAAATTCTTCAATTTAAAGAAGAGTAGCCCACACTGATTTCTAAGTTCTTATAGATTTATTTTCCAAAAAAAAAAGAATTTCAATCGATCATTCTATGTTGTGTGTCACTTTCTTTATTCAATGTATTTATTAAACTAGAATGGATAGATGTCGATATCAAATAGATTTTTATTGTAGAATTCATAAATCGACCTAAGCTAGGCCACTGTTGAAGATCTGAATGGCCATCTCGTTTCAACACGAAACGACTCAGCAATGCGCATCTACGATTCCGTGAATGGGACTCTAACCCAGGATCTTCAGCCTCGTGCACGAACGTTTAACCTCTAGACCACTGGGCCGGCATTCAATGTCTAACTTTGATCGATCCATGATCTTGCCGAAACCTTCACTCATTTTCTGAGGTAGATACCTGTCTCTACCCGACACAGATTGGACTCCATTGGTCATGGTCACTACTACTACTACAATTTCCACAAACTCCCATTCTGAAAATAGAATTTAATTGAGAATGAATGAAACTTTAAAAAAACATGTATCATACAAAAGCAAGTGTTTATTATTGGCAGAAAAAGATTTTTTGATATTTCATTGAAACTAACCTTAAGAATAAGACACTTATAAAATGAAATTTCATCCATTTCTTAAATATGAAGGATTAATTTTTTCCCTGAAAATAATTATCAACAAGAAGTAATGTTAACGGAAGAATCATTTAAAAGAAACTGGTGGTGATACAATAATTTTAGATTAAATTGTGTTTTATTGTCAAT